GCAGCTGAATATGTGATCCAACCACTCTTTGAAGTAACCCGAGGAGCCTCAGTACAAATAGAAGGTGAAACAGCGTACGACACCCCCTAACGTGGACTACCCACCGAATTACCGGAACCCAGACCTCGGTGACACCGAGCGCGGCCCGCACGGAATGTGCGTGACATTTGCATTCTGGCGACACTCTTGTCTCGGAATGATGGTCCGGCTTCTGCGTGGGGCGCATCTCTGATTAAAAATGTTGTTGCAGTCTAGGCGCCAGCGACATCCTTCATTAAGCGTGTTGTTTTCGCCTGTGCGTGGGCTGGTTGAGAATGCTGCTGTCTCTTAGGCTCCAGCGACGTCCTCCATCGAGAATGTCGTTCTCGCCTTGGCACCAGCCAAATAATGTCTGATAGAAAAGGTTGCCGTCGGCAAATGTGGCTGTCGTCTAGGAGCCGGCGACATCCTTCATTCAGCATGTCTTTATCGCTTGGGTGCAGGCCACATACATGTTTGATTGAAGAAGTTGTTGTTGCCTTGGCGCCGGCGACATCTTTCATTGACCATGTCGTTCTCGCTGTGGCGCTGGTCACATGTCTGATGGAAAATGCTGCTGTCGCCTAGGCGCCAGCCACATCTTTCATTGAGCATGTCGTTCTCGCTGTGGCGCCAGTCACATGTCTAATGGACAATGTCATTTCGCCTAGGCGCTGGCCACACGCATGATTGCGATAATTGTTGTCGCTTCAACGCTGGTCGCACTCTCGACTCGGAATGCTGCTTTCGCCGAGGTCATAGGCGCCAGTCGCGCGCATGATGGCGATTGTTGTTCTCGCCTCAGCATTGGCCACATCCATGATTGAGAATGTTGCTCTCGCCTCAGCGCCCGCCACATCCATTATCGCGAAAGTTGCTTTCGCTTCAGCGCAGGCAATATTCTTCGTTGGAAACGAAGAGGGATAATTGAAACAGTTGGCACTTTTGCATCGCACGTTTCTGTGTCGCCCCATTCTGGTGCATCGTTTGCTACAGCGCGCGCGCGACACTGGTGTCGCCGAGCCGTTGGCCACGTCAGCTTAGCTTTCATGGGTCAGGTTGGCTTTGGCGCAGTGTCGACAGGGCCTGGGTCAGGTTGGGTTAGGGACTTGCCACGTTATGGGGGGGGGTCTTGTACTCAGTCTGCTGCATCGGCGACCGCAGCGCTGGCGCTCAAGGCTGAACGGCGCCGGTGCCCTGCGTCGGCCGATGCTGAACGATGCACGCTGTCGCAGAGCCGCGAGTGTTCAAGGTTGTGGCGGCGACTCCAGCGCGGGCGCTCAAGGCTGAGCCCCGCCAGTGCCCAGAGCCGGCTGCTGGCAACACGTCTGATGGGCCTCGCGAGCAGCCATGGCCTGTTTAGCCGGAAGCAGAACCGCCGTTCAGATCATCTGATCAGCGACGCAAAACAACGGGGTGGGCTTCCCGGGTAGGGGCGCGTGGGAGCGCCCTCGTATCCAATGTAACGTGCCGCGCTGGTGGCCCGCGAAAGCCGCGGCGCAAGGTCGCCATATCATCTTGCGCAAGACCTGCTTCTTTTCGTCGCTTAAGCACGTACGCTGCGCTTCGTGACAGCGTGGGATGTGCCTCTCCCACCCCGACGGGGGTCAACTAATCTTGCCGCGCTGGCGCACTTTACGGCAGGGATCGGAGTGCCCTCGAGGGTCGCGAGGGGTTAGAGGCGCCGGCTTCAAAGAAGGCGGAGGAGCTTTTTATCAAAGAAGCCAGGCCTGTCTTCTAAGAAGCCCCCTTGTATTCTAAGAAGCCCAGCCGCCCTCTTAGAAGCCAACCCCCTCTTGTGCCACCCCCTTGCGGCCGCCGCCCCCCCACACTTGTCGCTCATCGAGGAATTTGGGTGCATGCTCGCCTGCTTGACCTGTGTTGGGCAAATCGCAAAGTCGGATGCCGGGTTTGGGGAGGATCTCACGCGGGGGGGACTCGTGCCGCACCATGGTCTTAGACGCAGTCGTCGCAATTCCTTGTTACCTTTGGCCCCCGTTGAAGTACATCTGGATTTCATCTTAGGTTAGCCTGAAGTCGGCTGATTTCTATGTTTGGTTACTGCTCCAGCTTTCGTTTGGCCTCTGCTTTAGTTTTCGTTTTAGCCTTATATGTTAGCTCTGGCTTCGGCCTTGGCTTTGGCGCTGGCTTTGGCCTCGCCTCTTCGCCTCGGTTCTTTGCTTTGAGCATGCGCCTCATCTTCTGATTTTGACTGGGCTTGACGTGCAGCAGGCTTTACATTTCAGCATTCGTGTTGTTTCCAAAGCCGCGACAGCAGGATCCCGCCACCCATTCTACGGCGCTGCCAGGTGTCACACGAGCTCACGTCTGTGCATGCGTGCGGATATCTTGAGGGTCTCCTGGGGTCTTCCTTGGTGTTCAGGGCTGAGATCCAGCGCCTCTTGGAGGCTTGTCGGGTGTATTAGTGTCTTTTTGTTCGGGCCGATCGCGGCCCTCGGAAGGGGTGTTGCAGTCGCCTGGAGTGATCTTGGAGCCGTCTTGTGCTGGTTCTGGACGCTGTCTTGGGGCGATGTTGGAGCAGTCTTCGGGCCCATTCCAGGGCTCGCAGAATCGAGCACTCCTGCGGCTATCTTGGCGCCGAGCGGCTCGGAGGCAAGCACCATGCAATAATCATGATGTGTTGGAGGGTTTGGGCTACCTGGGGCCTCTCTTGGGGCCTCCTTGGGTCGTCTTGGAAGCCTTCGGGTTCTCCCATGACCCTCTTGGGCTGCCTGAGCGGCATCTTGGCGCCCTCTGAGCTCGTTATGGGCCTATCTTGGGAGCGCTTGGGACTCCCGTGAATTCTTGGGCCCCTGTTTCCACGTTGGTGCCCAACGAGTCGGCCAAGTTGTTTTTGCATGATTTTGGCCTCCAGGGGTCTTTCCGAGGAGGCTTCCAGACCGTCATGCAGGGAATCTGGAGGTTCTCGGGCCATTCTCGAAGCTATCTTGGACAGTGTTGGGCCCTCTTGAGGACGGGTTGGACCATCGCGGGAACGTCTGGGGGCTGGTCTAGGATATGTTCTGCAGCCATTTTAGCGGGCGTCGTTGCTGAATTGTGCGCCGCTGGGGAAACCATCTTAGGCCTTCAAATGCCCTCTCGGATTGTCTTGTTGGATGTGGAGGACGCGTTGCGATGCGGGCAATCTGGCAAGTGGACGACAGATTTTGGAGAGGTCAAAGCGGTTCCGAACACTTGGCCCGCCTAGCACCCTCGTGCAGAGGATACAGACGGCATGGGACTTTCCTCTCTGTTGGACTGTTGGGCCCGTGGACCTGCTATATTGGCGTCAGCCGTTGCACATCGAATCCCTGACGATTCGCGTATTCCCACTAGTGCCATTTTGGCTGCGTCGCGGCGATGCCGCTTCCCGCATCCGTGCGTACTGCTGCCTCGGGGTCTCTCGGCCACAGCCACCCTGGGAGTTGCAGCCTGCCAACGCGCTCGCCTCCTGGCGTCAATTCTTTGGCCGACGGTCCTTCGGGCCACCCTGGTTTTCGCGTTCACGCCGACGTCCGGGGCCTCGCCATTGCATTTCTCAATTCCACCTCGACCGGCGGTTCGTTGGCCGCGGCCACCCTGGTGCCTACGCAGCTGCTCGAGGTTGGGTCTCATGCCTTAATTCTCGGAGTTGTCCCTGGTCGTCGTTTACGAGGTTGGGTCTCATGCCTTAATTCTCGGAGTTGTCCCTGGTCGTCGTTTATATCCCGACTTCCTGGTGCCTTCGACGCCCTGCATACTTGCACGCTGGCAGTTCGACTCAGTTTCAGTCTCTCCTGCCACCCGCCCGCCGCTGGGCCGCCGCGTGAGGCCTCGGCTTGCCGCGTTGGTTGTAGCCTTTTCGCGCCGCCTCTGCCTAATTAATCTCTGCGTAGCCCGCTTTGACCTGACTCGCCGCCAGCGCGCTCGCCCGCGGCCGCTGATTAAAAATATTCCCACTAGCTTCCCCCGGCGGTAGGTCCCAGCTTCGGCGTTTGCAGCACAGCCCCAGCGCAGTTGCTTCCCCCGGCGGTAGGTCCTGCCTAGCTCGGCGGGCGCGCCTGCAAATAGTTCCGTTCGTGGCCCGAGCCGGCTCTTCCTGCTGTTGGCGCCGTCGCTTGCGGCCGCGACGTAAAAAGGATCCCCGCTAGCCCATCCAAAAACAGTCGCAAGGGGAGTTGCCCTCATCAGGAACGTGTAGCAGCATGCAGTGGAACAAAAAGAGGGCAGCCGCTACTGTCGGAAAGAGGAGAGATTTCTAGGAGATTGTATGGAGCTTTTCGGACACTTTTTTGGGGGGGCTGGAGGGGGGTCTGGAGAGGGAGGGGACGGGGGGTGGGGCTCTCCTAGGGCCATTTTGGAGGCCTTGGGGGTTGTCGTGGACACATCTTAAAACATGGGGTGGCGCGTATTTGCGCCCCCCCGTCGGGGCCCTCGAAACTGCCTCTTGAAGCCCTCTTGGGGCGCACTTGGGGCGCTCTTGGGCGCTCTGGGGGGCCATCTTGGGCCCCTCTTGGGGTTCTCTTGGAGCCATCTCGAGGCTTCAAAAACCCATCGGCAGCGAAAGGGCGACCAGGCAACAGCCATTAAAAACCAATGGTTCTTAACGATGTTGGTTTCCAGAGGGTCTTTGGGGGCTCGGAGAACACTTGGAGCCGTCCTGGGGCGATGTTGAGGCTCTTGGAGGCATGTTGGTGGCTATCTTGAACCATCTTAAAATATAAGCGATTTTGAGAACCATCTTGGGCTGAATGGAGCCTCCTGGGGGCATCTTGGGCCAAAATGGGCCTTCGGGGTAGGGGGTAGGGGGGGGAGGACCCCCTCCCCCAAGGGGAAGGAGGGAGTTAGCAAAGCGAGCTCCGTAAACCACTCAAGCCACGAGGGCTGGTGGGATTGCAGGGCGGCCGTGCCTTGATATCTGTGAGTAGATGCTCGTGTTCCCCCCCAAAAAAACTAGCGTTGGGAGTGTGGCCGTCTCTTCCAGCTGCCCGCTGCCGCCGACT